TTGTAAAATAATTTTTTTATGTGTTTCACACCGTGTGTAAAATCAGTTGTGTAACATTAACGGTCCCTCCTCTAACATTTATCGCTGTAGTTTCGGATCCAGATCCGAATTTTCGGATCAGGTACAAACATTATCCGATCGGTTCATGCGGATATTATCCGATCGGTTCATGCGGAATATTATCCGATCGGTTCATGCGGAATATTACACCAAAGCATTCAAAGTTTTGAAAAGAAACGCGCATTCGACTAATAGAGTTCCTTATTTCGCGTCCGGATATTAATCTAGAGAATATTACGAGCATATTACAAGCGGTGCAACAGTAGTGTAATGATGGTGATGCAAACATCGACAGAACCAGTTTTTTTTTTTTTTTTACAAATTTTAGCCAAAGACGATAGATAATGTCATAATTTTTAACAATTTAAGGTTAGTGATATAGACCAAATATATATCGTAGATCCATATATGAATGCCTCCAAAAGAAAACCCATAAATCTTATCTACTAAGATTTACGGGGTTTCTTTCATATTTCACCTACGTACGTGTACGTACTATTTCGAATGTTCTTTTTGATTATTACTTTGTTACACTGATTCATGGCGTGATTATTGTTATCGCGTTAGTAAAGATTATCCCGAATTTATTGCGATCATCTTGGGCTGATTATAAATATTTTTTTCGGTTAAAATTACTGCTTATTCACTTTTTTTTAGGAGTTGTGTGTCCTCCTGCAAATTTCTGTAAACACTAATGTGTTCTTGAGACGTACTACATTTGCATATGTATGCGGACATTGGTGGATTATCTGTAAGAATTAACATGTCTAAGAGTGCCAATTGAATATTTTAAGAATCCAATACTGTAATATATAATTTAAATCATTAATATAACCTTTAATAAAATCATATATAAATTATTTAAAGATAATGATTGACAAAAGTTGGATTAAAACTGACAAATAAAATAACCAACAAATAAAATAAAGAATTAGAAAATAAAAATACAAGCTATTGGATAAAAGTTCTACATATATTACAATAATGTTACAGTAAGGTAGCTAATATAGAAAAAAAACAATTTAAGAATTAACTAGATTTTGTATTAGAAGATGGCATTTGAGCGATCCAATTGGGGGGGTAATTCCAGTTTGTTCTTGAATAGTTGACAATAATGGAGGTAAACTTTGGAAAATATTGGCAATAGGGTTTGCATTATTTACATTTCCATTAGGGTCACCAGTATTCCAAACAGTAATTTTCGGGTTGAGACCTTGAATAGCTTGTGCATTTTCTTTGGCCAATTGTTGATATACACCTCTTTCAATCATTACGTATTGAAGAGCAGCTTGCCTATCACCGCCAAATGCTTGCATTAAATTCTTAATACCTTCGGCCTGAGCATTGTAGAGAGCTAATACACCCTCAGCATCTTTTTGTTTCTTATACAATTCAGCCTCGGCCTCTTTTTGTGCGGTATATAGTTTAGCATTTGCGATAGCTTTTGCAGCTTCAAATTCAGCAGTGGCTTTTGCAACATGTTGAACTCTAAGACGTTCAGTTTCGGATAAAAGTCGACGTTCTTCGACTTCTTTTTGAAGTTCTGCTTGTCGCATCTTAGCGGCTTGCTCGGATTCAATAGCAGCGATCTTAACTTGTTGATCATATTCAGATTTTTTAGTAGACAAGGTCATTTCTGCTTGAGCGATGGATATTTTTCGTTCATTTTCAATCAAGACAGTATCGGCTTCGATTTTTGACTATATAATAATAATAATAATAATAATAATAATAATAATAATAATAATAATAATAATAATAATAATAATAGTTAGTATAATGATAAAATATTATAAAATTAAGTTATAAATAAACTAAAAAATCATGATAAATTACCGTTTCTTGTCTAGTTAAACCTTCTCGAAGCTTAGAACCGACGTCACCTTTGTATTTTGCTTCAGCAACATCTACTTTAGCTTGATTAATAGCACCTTCATGAGTTTTTTTTCGCATATATGCGAAATATTCACTTCCTTGTGTGTCTTGCTGTTAATATGATTTTCAAAGTATATTAGATAATTGTTACGAATATATGAATATACGGTATGGATATATGAATCACATCCAAATGAAAAATGATACTTACAAGTTGTTTCACGTTCGCATTATAGATGAATAAACCAAACTATTATTTTTTAATAAAATAATATTCAATAATAAATAAGTATATATGTATGTATTAAAAGAATTTTTTTAATTTAGTTTACCTGCTCTAATTCAGCCTGAACGTTCTTAATAACTTTATCTTTAAATCCTCTTCTCTCCTGGAAAATTTCTTCCATAGTCATAGCAGCAGCGATAACTCTTGTTTCACCTTCAATGATACCTCTAACCAAATCTTTAACATGATCTGAATTTTTATCTTTGGCTGATAATAATTTACCATATTTTTCTAAACTTTTGGCATCATCTTTTGGACCAATGGTAAATACAGCAGGTAAATTGAATTCGAGTTTTTCTGCTGTCATGGCTTGTAATTGAAGTGTATAATTTTCAGGAGTGATATCAAAGAATTGAGAACGTTGACCGGGTATAACCCATCCTTTTTTAGAGATCTTGACATCATTAATAAAGGCACCGGTCTTTATTAAATATTGGTTTGCGTCGCTAGTAAAGGTTTACAGAATTAGACAAGACATTTATATTGTAAAATTGAAAATTTAAAACCCATTATAATAAATGGTATATGGTATATACCTGATTCTATACATGGTTATTATTTATTTCTTTATCAAAGATTTATCAAAAAGAGGATTAAAGAAAGGACTGTTCAATATCAAATTAAACAATTAAGTGTATGCTAGCCAAAATTTGAGTATATGCTAATCAAAAAATTAACTAGCAGTATCAAAAACTTTCTGAAACATGTTTTGAAAATGAATTGATTTAGTAAGTGGCTATAATTTTAGTTGAAAAACAAGGGTTCAGGCTTTGCACTTAATCAATTCAGGAATTCAGTGGCGGAATTTAGTGGTTAAAGAATAGCTTGGTTGTTTGAATCTCTAACAAAAGAAAAAAAAACCACCATTATCGTCTTTGTATTTATACTTTAATTTCCAAAAAATCTTAGTATACTTTTAACTGAAAAATTATATATTGTGATCATTTAACGTCTAGAATTACACATTCAAGATATTTATAAAGCCATTTATTTCTCTTTGTTAAAGATTATTTGCAATTTTTTTTTACTCGAACTTTTCACAAGGCCTATATTAGACATAAATAACTGTTTTTATCTACATTTTTTCGGAAGTGCATGCCGTAGCGGCGTGTAAAATATTGTTCTATAAAAAAAATTTGATATTCTGGAATGACCGGAGATATTGCTGATACACGATCAAATCAGCCGATATGGACACGTTACAAATACGTTATACGTATTAATATCGCAACAACACTCATGACACCGGTATGACATCGAACATCATGTAACATAAATTTCTAAAAATATAAAATCTTTTCTAAATCAAACGAATTAAGTCCGAATGGGATTATTGGATTATCAAATCCGGTCATATAATGCGAATGAAATTGATGTCAAAAAAAATGCGAAATGA